GTGCCAGGCCAGCCCCCAACCCCCCAAAAAAACCCTCCCCACCCCCCCCCCCCGCCCCCCCCAAAAAATCTGTGCCTGTAACTTCATGGCTCTGTGTGTCTATCCAGCAAACTACTGCACATCCGTGGGTATGCCTATGTGTGTCTGCATTCATGTAGACATTTCATGTCCGCCTCCTTTAGCTCTCTACATGTAACTCCACATCCATCAGGCATAGTAGGTGTTCATGACATGAACATATCCACATGTGTCTTACAGGTGTACCCAGGGCTTTGTATGTCCTAGAAGGTGACTGTTTGTCTGTCTGTATGCACATCATGGCCCGTGTCTGAGCATGACTTTATATACATACACTCAGGTCCCCAGTTCCTTAGAAACTATATGTTTTTGTCATGTGTCTGCAAACCTTACATGTATTTCAATATATATGGTCATATGTATGTTGGTGACTGTTACTATAAACACATTGCCAGCATGTCCTAAGATGTGTCATGCCAGAGCTATGGGACTTTGTCTAAGAGGAGTGTTGAGTGTTAGCATGTCTCTACATGTCACTGAATGTGGCTTGATGCCCACATGTCTGTCACCCCCCATCCTGTTTTTGTGGCTCTTTGACTGGACGAGTGGCTGTTCCTTATCTTGTCATGTACTGCCCCCTCTGAGCTGACACACACACACACCTCACTGTGTCCGCAAGGCTGCCCAGGTGCGCACTAGAACACTTCAGACCCACTGTCACATTGGGGCTGTGTTTTGTGTCAGTACAAATGTTTCATGTATTGTCTGTGTTTCTGGGCTGTGTGAACACGCTGGCCACATGTACAGGCCAGCAAACCTGGCAGATTTGGCAACATTGTCTTAGACACACTCACGTTTTTCCCATTTAGGCCAGGTTTGCCATCCTCGCCTGTCTTTCCCTGTGGGAACAGAGTGTTGGTTAGATATCAGGGCTCAGGTGACAGTAGGAAGAGGCAGAAAGGATAGCTATCATGAAGCCTGGACTCACAGGTACTCCAGGAGGGCCAGGGGGACCAGCAGGGCCATGTTCTCCTCGAAGGCCTGGAAGCCCCTAGAAAAAAATCCATCGTGAGGATTGAGAGGGTCTCTGAGTTATCACTTGGGATATGGCACCCCAAGACCTATGAGGGCCCCCAGTGTAGAGATTCAGAGGTCATGTGGAAATCCTCTGAGGCCCAGATGCCATAAGTTAAGGGGACTCCGGTTTGATCCCTAATGAAGAACCCCAGAACCTCAGGTCTATTAAGATGTGTAAGGCAGAGCTCCACAAGAGGACTCTAGTGACCTGCTTGCTGCCCAGAGACTGAGACCTCCTAACAAAGACTCAGAAGGACCAACTGGTCCTATTCTCTGTGGTGTGAGACATGGATGGAGCTTCTGCTGGGCCTCCAAGCCACCCTCCATCCTGGCATCTCCCCTAACTTACATCTCTCCCAGGGTCCCCGGCTTTGCCTGAAGCACCCTAAGAAGAAATTCAAAGTTAGGCACATGGATGAGTCCCTGCCCACTGGCAGAACAATAGTCCCGTGAACCCAAAGCCTCATAACGGTGATGTGTCCCACACAGGATGGCTCTGAGAGTGAAAAACACAGCTGGTGCCAGAGCTCAAGGCCAAGACCAACCAAATGCAGTGAGGAATGGGACAACCGGTACTCACATGTGGCCCTGGGGGGCCAGGTGCACCTGGCTTCCCATCCACCCCATTCCGGCCATCCAGCCCTGGGGGGCCCCGATCACCCTGAAGAAAACAGAGTGGCAGGGAGCCTTGAAGACCGAGATGCATCTGAGAGCCAGCTCTACCTCCGCGAACTGGTTACAGCCTCTCACCTTGTCTCCTGCAGGGCCTCGAACACCTGGGTCTCCCTGGAGGGAACAAGGTCAGATAAAAGGTGGTGGCAAGATGGTGATGCAGAGTAAGGGACAAAGCACGTACTCACCTGTGGGCCGGGGGGTCCCCGAAGCCCCTCAATGCCCTGAGGACAAAGGAAAGAAGAGTCAAATCAGAGCGAGATTTTCCAGGATGACAACCCCCACCAGGCCCATCATCACACTCACCCTTTCTCCAGAGGCTCCAGGGGGGCCAGGGTCACCCTTGGGTCCTCGAGGACCTTCCTGTCCAGGCTCTCCCTGTGGCAGAGACAGGCTTGCTGAGGGAACAGCTCCTCAGCCACTCAGGACACTTGAGCCAGGTCCTGCCACCAGATCCTTCCCAGACTGGCAGCTTCACTTTGCCCACAAAGCCCAGTACCTTGTCTCTGGATCCAATTCCTGCATCCACCTACAGGGGAATGATCAGTTAGAACACTTCAAGAGGAAATCTGAGGCTGGAAAGGGGAAATGGGGGCAGTGAGGAGCTGTGCAGATCAATAAAGGTGTCAAGGGCCTGTGAGGGAAGTGGACAGGGTGAGAGGATACAAGATCAGCAGGGCCAGGGAAGGGAGCTCACAGAGGACAACACCTACCAGCCGTCCAGGGGGACCCGGGGGGCCCTGGGAAAGGAAATTACAAGCATCAAGAGAAGCCTGAGGTTACCAGACATCAATGTTCATAGTTGCCCCAGTTTCTCTGCCCCTCCCAATTTCCTAAAGTCCCCCAAATGCCAACTCCTAGAGGGCAGCCAGACCCGGAAGTGGTCATCACTGCTTCCCACTGATAACTTCCTGTCCCCTTGCATTGTCAATGGCCACAGGTACTACTCACCGGCTCCCCACGGTCACCCTTGGGTCCAGATGGTCCAGGGCTGCCCTGTAGAAGGCCAGGAATTCACTCAGGGCAGACAGCAATTGGGGGGAGATTTAGAAGTACCGTGAGGACTCATGGAGTCCTGCTGGCCTTTGGGAAGTTCTCACAAAAGAGACAAAGGAGGTGAGGACTGTGGAGGCTGGGGTGGGAACTGGAAGGAGGAGTTGAGTCTGAGGTCGAGGGTGGGGACCAGAGGCTGTCACTCACATTCCGTCCATCTTCTCCAGGGTCTCCCTGGTCACCTTTCTCACCCGCAGGCCCCCGGACCCCAGGTGCGCCCTGAGAGGAATGGCTAGTCTGAGGTGGACTCTCCTGTCATGTGCAGGTCTTCCCATGAGCTGTGCTGCCCGTGCTCCATGACAGAGTTTCCCATCGTCCCACACGCCTGCAGATTTCCCTCTCATATCTCATCCCTCCAAGAGCCTCCTACCACCTTCATGTCTACATTCCTTCCTCCCTGTGGCTCGACCCCTCATTTCTCTGTCAACACTCACCCGAAGGCCACGCTCGCCTGCTTTTCCAGGCAAACCTGGGTCACCCTGGTGATAGAGATAAAAGTCACCCTGTGCTGGTGGATTAGGATCTAACTGCCTGAGTAAGCATGGCCACTGACTGGACAGGAGCCAGGGGATGAACAAAATGACCTGCTAGGGCCCCAGGGTCCTTGGGGTCATGGTTCAAGGGTCAAGGGTCAAAAGCCACAGTGGGGAGGAGTCTCACCGGGTTTCCCTCGACACCTTTTTCTCCAACTTCACCCTGTGAGACATGAGTCAGTCTTGGTGCCAAGACCCCAGTGATACATGCAAGCACCCACTCCCTACCCCCCCCAGCCCTCCTACATGCAAGCACCCACTTCCTACCCCCCCCAGCCCTCCTACATGCAAGCACCCACTTCCTACCCCCCCCAGCCCTCCTACATGCAAGCACCCACTTCCTACCCCCCCCAGCCCTCCTACATGCAAGCACCCACTTCCTACCCCCCCCAGCCCTCCTACATGCAAGCACCCACTTCCTACCCCCCCCAGCCCTCCTACATGCAAGCACCCACTTCCTACCCCCCCCAGCCCTCCTACATGCAAGCACCCACTTCCTACCCCCCCCAGCCCTCCTACATGCAAGCACCCACTTCCTACCCCCCCCAGCCCTCCTACATGCAAGCACCCACTTCCTACCCCCCCCAGCCCTCCTACATGCAAGCACCCACTTCCTACCCCCCCCAGCCCTCCTACATGCAAGCACCCACTTCCTACCCCCCCCAGCCCTCCTACATGCAAGCACCCACTTCCTACCCCCCCCAGCCCTCCTACATGCAAGCACCCACTTCCTACCCCCCCAAGCCCCCCAACCCCAGCCTCTCACATCTCTTCCCCGGGGGCCAACAGGTCCTGGGGGCCCTGGTCGTCCTGGATCTCCCTTCTCTCCAGGAGGCCCCGAGTCACCCTGTCAGGGACACAAGAAAGAGAGGTGATGAAGAACACAGCTGACAGGCAGCCTTTGAGAGGAGGGAACTCCAGAACCCCGGGGTCGTCCAAGGTTATAGACACTTACTGTGGGTCCTGCTCTGCCAGTGAGGCCAATGGGACCCTGAGAGAGTAGGAAAGAGGAACAGGACTTAGCCAGAGTCTGGGGTACCTTTCCCTTCACCCTCTGTCACATACCCCCATCCCCACATTTATTCACCCGGTCTCCAGGGTCTCCTTTGGGGCCAGGGTCTCCAGGAAGCGCCAACCCAGGTGGGCCCTGTAGATGGAATGGTGAGAATTCAGGAGCCCGTGGCCTCTGGCTGTGCTTACCCCAAACATCCGTCTTCACTCACTTGTTCCCCTTTGATTCCAGCAGCTCCTCGAGGCCCAGGAAGCCCAGCATCTCCCTAAAGATGACAGAGTGTCAGTGTTCGTTCCAGCCTCCAGGTATTCCCACAACCCAGCAATCCTGCTGCAAGCCTTGTGATCTCTACCTAGAACCCAAGGTAGGCCCTGTGACCTTGACCTTACCCTTCAACAACCTCCAGACATACCTTTTCTCCTTTGGCTCCAGCACCACCAGGACCCTGAAAACAAACAGACAGACACAGCTCAACTTTGTCTAGGGCTCATGGGATCAGTCTCCATGGGGACAGAGATATATGGCACTAGATGTCACAGAGCTCAGTCTCTGATTGTAGGTCACAGGCTCACTGATAAGAACAAGGTAAGGGCTACTCAAAATGGACTGACACCATGTTCATGACTGCAGAATGGTTATGGGGCACAGGGGCACAGCTAGAGGTCTGAAGACAGATTACTGCATGAGGAGAATCACAAGGCTAAGCCTACCCAGGGTGGAGGTGGTGGAGACACAGCCCTGAGCAATTCCTATGTCACTACTCCAGGGCTGTGGTCCTCAGGACTCATCTGTCCCTCACTCACCACTGCAGGATCTCCAGGGCGACCAGGCTCTCCCTATAGAGAGAGGACAGGGACAGAGACAGGTGAAAAGGCCACCTAGGAACCCAAAGTCCTAGTGTTCCATCCGCCCACATCCAGCAGAAAGTGTGACATCCAGACCATAACCTACCTTTTCTCCTCTACGGCCAGCGGGTCCTGGTGGCCCCTATACAGAGAGAGACTGTGAGTCCAAACAGGGAGAGAGGGACACAGGAGAGCCCCATTCCTGATCCCCCGCCATAGTCACAAACTTACCTCAGGACCCTCCACTCCAGGATGGCCAGCAACCCCGGGAAGCCCCTGGGGAAGAGGAACAGAGATACTGCTCCAGGTGGCTGGGGTCACAGGGGACTGGGAGGGGGACGGGCAGGAGTTGAACTCAGCAAGAGGACAGAAATCAGTGCAGGGAACGCCAAGGGAAGTTTATTCAAGTCGCACATTCAAAGATTGATCCCTGAGGCTGAGGGCTAGAGCTGCATGCCTACAGATTAGATGTCTGGGGCTGATGGGTAGAAGGACTCAAGAGCAAGAAATCAGAACTAGGAGGGAACCGAGAGTGTGCAAGTCAGCCAGCGCTCACTGAGGTCAGAGGACTTACCTGGGGTCCCACTGGACCGGGCGGTCCCCGTTCACCCTGACAGAACAGAAGAGGTCAGAGCTGAGAATGGCCCCAGATCCTCCCAAGCCCCCCAGGTTGCACATACCTTTTCTCCGGGCTCACCCGGGGTCCCTGTCTGTCCCCGGTCACCCTAAAGAGAGAGAAGAGAGGGACTTTCAGAGAATATCAAATAAAATGTATTGATCTCCAACTACAAAAACCACAGTCTTTGCACTCTCCAGGACCATATCTCCTAACCCTCCAGCCTCTGTAACACTGTGAGAGAGTTCCAGACAATAACATCGCATCTGATCACGCTCCCTGCCACAGTTGGTACTTACTTTGGGCCCAGTAATTCCAGGAGTTCCCCGTAGGCCCTGGAAAGGACATGGGGGAGTACAGAGATTTGGGTTAGTACATATGATAAAATGGGAGTAAACTGTTGAAGGCAGAAACCAGAGTTAACTCACCGGTTCACCTGGGGCCCCAGGTTGTCCTGGAAGGCCTGGGGCTCCATCCTCACAGTCACCCTGAAGGAGAAACAAATGACAGGAAGACCCAGGGGAGACCCTGCCTATGGGTCACCAAGAAATCAGGTTCCTACCTTCTCTCCTTTCTCTCCAGCACGGCCTGCTGGGCCTTGGGGTCCAGGGCTTCCAGGAAGACCCTGGAAGGAAATAAACACATAAGCCAAGAACTAGGAAACCCAGCATTCAACCACTGCCCCAGCAGAGCCCCAAGGTATCCTCACCGGAAGTCCAGGCTCGCCTTGTCCAGTGCCACCAATACCTGGTCCTGGGGGACCCTGGGGAAGGACAGTGGGTCAGGGGATGGCCATGAGACTCAGACTCCAAGCCACCTCCATGATATCTGGTTCCTCACTTACCCGTTCCCCACGATCACCTTTGTCACCCTGGAAGACAAAGATCATGACCCCATTACTATGAACCATACCCTTTCTCTCCAAGACACGAGGAGAGTTACTGGATCAAATTTGATTATAAAAATAATGGGGGCTGGGTGTGGTGGTACACGCCTTTAATCCCAGCACTTGGGAGGCAGGAGGATCTCTGTACATTCGAGGCCAGCCTGGTCCATATAGTGAGTTCCAGGCCAGCCAAGGCTACATAGAGAGACCTTGTCTCAAAACCTGCGCCCCGCCCCCACCCTGCACATAAAAGAATAATGGGGAACTAAGGAGTGGGAGTTAAAGGCCAGAAATGGTAAGGGTTGTATGGGCTCTAGTGGGGTCACCAAGTCTCTGAATCACAAGGCATTCATAAGACTACTTAGAGATCACGCCATCACCTTCACTGATGTTCCAGGAATCCCTGGGGAGCCACGGGGTCCTGGGTCCCCCAAAGGGCCACGAGGTCCAGGGGGCCCCTGATAGAGGAGACAATATATAAGGTGCTTTAGACCGCACTGTCACCTCCCATCTGGTCTTCTTCCGCTCCCGTAGCTCTTGCAGTCACTTATCTTCGGACTTACCGAAGGTCCAGGGTCCCCTTTCTTTCCAGGAAGCCCTGGCCCTTCACCTCCAATGACTTCCCCGGGCTCCCCCTGTGTGGGGCAGGGAGCAGTTCTCAGGATAGGGGAGGTTGAAGAAGCTGCCAGAGGTGTCCCAGTTCTTAGCATGCTTCAGGCCTTGGACAGGGCCTGGCCTGGGGCACCCCTGCTCCTCCATGGAATATCCAGGCCCCCTTTTCCTTCCCCTTTCACCTACCGGCTCCCCCTTTGGGCCCCGAGGCCCTCGCTCTCCCTGAGGACAAAGCAGAGCAGAAGGTATAAATTCAGGTGAACCTTGGGGTGGCCCTCATGTACCCCAGCCTCATTCACACTATAGAAAGAACCCTAGAAGGCACAAGAAAAGCACTTACCGGTTCCCCACGAGGGCCAGGCCACCCTGGGGAGCCCTGTAATTGGAGGTCAAAGACAGAACAGTCAAAACTATAGAGCCCATTCAAGGAATCGTCCTCCTGTGGCCAGCAAAGGCAAGACTGACTCACCTTAATGCCAGGAGACCCAGGAGCACCAGTGAGGCCAGGGCTGCCTGGAGGCCCTACTGGGCCAGGAAAGCCCTAGAAAGGCAAAGAGGTCAGAGCTGGGAAAGATCCTCCCGCAGTATCCCGCTTTACATAAAGAGCCCCATTTTATAACCATGGCTCCAGGTGTTACCAGAGGTGAGAAGTGGGCCAGAGAAGTGGCACTACCATACTGAATGGAGCCTAATCCCGGGCAGTGAAGAGGCAGAGGCCCAGGGGCTCGCAAAGCCCCTTACACTTTCCACTACAGAACCTCCACCTAGTCTGGTGTAGTTTACAGTCTTCACTCAGGCTTCTAAGAATATTCTGTGGATATTGCTTGTTTGTTTGAGACAGGGTCTGCTAGTTTAGCCTTAAACTTGTGGCTCCTCTTGCCTCTGCTTCTTGGGTGCTAGGATTACAAGTGCCCGTGCCCAGCTCACCCTGTGGCCCTAACTCCACTTCTTCCTCTTTCTCTGAGAACACTAGCAGGGACACCCTGGAGACAGTCCATGATCTGCACACTCACCCTCTCTCCTTTCGCCTGGGTACTTCCAGGGGGACCTTGTGGGCCAGGAGCACCGGTCCTACCCTGAGTGAGGAGAGCAGGTCAGGAGGCTGAAAGCCAGTCAGGGTAGGGGCAGGTGTGGAGAGGCACTCACCGGGAGACCGGGGGGACCAGGAGGTCCAGCCTGTCCTTGCAGACCCTAAAAGGGGTGATCAGTGAGGCCTGTGCTGCCAACCAACTCTGTCCCACTGACTCCCAGTCTGTTGTTTACCTCCACAGGGTCGCTTACCGTTGCTCCAGGCTCCCCCTTCTGACCCTGGGAAAAGACATGTCAGGAGAGGGTAACCACAACAGCCTTAGATGTGATCTTTGGCCATTCATTCAGCCCTGGCCACTTACCTTTGGACAATGCACAGCACAAGGCTCCGGTTGTGGCTGTGGACAAAGAGGCTCTTTGAGACCAGGAAGCTCTCATACAAGGACCCCTAGGTCCCCTGTCCATTACCAGTCCCCAGAGGCCTTGTCCAAACCTGTGTGGCCACAGCTGCCTGACACAGAGCTACTGCCAGATCACTGACTGCTCGGTCCAAGCTTGGGCCATTATCTGTGGCAAAGAAGTTCTGGATGGGGTCCAGGCCTGGTGCCAAGCGACGCAGCTGCTCTGGGTCAGCTCCCGCCAAGCCCAACGTCATCACCTTGAGCCCTGAGAAGAGATCCAGCAACCTGCATGATAACCTCACTGGGGCCACCCCTATTCCCAAGGCCCCACTCCATCAGCCAGATAGCTCACCAGAAGCCTGGACCTCACGTATGGGGCTGAATATGTCCCCTCTCAGTGGCTCATCCACTAACAAGACCATCACTCCTGGCACTCGCTGACGGCGACCAGGAGCATTGGGTGCCAAGAGGTGGCTGTGAGCTGTGATCACAGCTGTGCCTGGAAGAAGGGTGTGTCAGAACCCTGAGACACTGAGCTCCTGGTGGGGAAGCCCCAGGGGACACGCTGCACAAAAGAACTGAGTTACTAGCACGTTAGCCGTGCCATGGTCCCCTCAGACTCCTCAGGCTCCTCCCACTGTACCTTCATACGCCATTTGCAGACCCTACCTAGGTTGTTTCCACTTGGGTCCACATAGGGGATGTCCCGGATCTTTTGCAAGATGATGCCAAGATCACGAGAACTATTCAGCGGGAACAACGGGGAGGGCCGGTGACTGTAGGACAGTAGGCCAACCTGGGTGGGAACAGACATAGGACATGGAGGGAATGGACGGAGTAGGACAGGGGTACCCAGAATCTGGAGGAAAAGACATGGGAGGTACACTCAGTCCAGAATGATGGAAGGTTGGGGGTCACCCGGCAGGCGAAATAGTCTGGAACCTGGGGGAAAGCTGGGGAGAGCCTGAACCCCCAGAGGGACGGAGAGTGGTTGGCTGGTGAGGAACCTGTAGAGGGGAGGGACAGGTGGAGTCTGGCTGTCTTTAGAGCCAAACCTGAGCAGCCTGTGGACCAAGAGGCCCGAGTGCAGACACCAGCCTCTCCAGGGCCCGCCTTACAGCCTCTGCATTGTGAGCATTGTCTCGAGTGGCATGCAGCACGAACACCACATCCACCTGGCCATGGGGACACGCTGCACAAAAGAACTGAGTTACTAGCACGTTAGCCACTCCCACTCCTCCCAGGCTCCTCCTCCCACTGTACCTTCATACCTGGCTTCTGTGTGACAGAGACCTCGGGACCTCGGACACCCCTCTGGATAGGTGCCAGAGAGAAGACATAGGAAACACCAGGGTCTAGGCCTGTCACCCTGTGGGAGCTTGAGGTCCCTGGCAGTGTCTGTGGAGCCCCAGGCACTTCTGCAGAGGCAAACTTGGTTAAACTGGAGCTTTCTCTATGGAGCCCCAATTACACCCTAGCCCACCCCTGAACTCTGGCCTTCCCCTCACCCTGGCCAGTTCCTCTGAGTGGCCGCCAGGACAAGATGTAGCTGGATGCATCAGGCACTGGGGTCCAGGCCAAAGTCACTGAGTCAGTAGAGATGTCCACCACACGCAGGTCAGTGCTCAGGACAGGAGAGGGCTCTGAAAGAGGAATGGAAGACCAAAGGGTCAGAGGCTGGGTGCAGAGAGCAAGAGAGAGAGATCAGCTCCTGCAGCTGCTTCACTTTAGTGAAGCACTATGGGAGATCATGCTGGAATCTCCCCCAGGGCCTTGGGGTGGGGCTCCGGGAGTCACTTAGAGTCTAGAGTGCGAGATCAGGGAGGGGAGGCGCCCAGCACAGGTCCTCGAGAGCTCACCTGTGTGTGCAGACACCTTCCTAGGGGGCCCCTCTCCAGTCTGCCCCAGGACACTCAGCCATATGTGGTACAGTGTTGCTGGCTCCAGTCCATCCAGGTTGTAGCTGTTAGACTCAGGTCTCAAGGTCAGGGACTGCTCCTGGCCACCTGAGACAAGTGTAAGGACCAGGAGTATTCAGGAGGACGGTGACTAACAGCGATAATGCACCCGCCTCACTGGCTCCCACCAACCACATTGACCATTGCTAATCAGGTCCAGTCTTCTGATGGGCCTCCCCACGCATCTTTACCCCATCCTCTTCATTGACCCTACCAGATGCACCTCCTCAGACTGACTAATCCCACCCACCTTGTTGAGTACGTCCCCTGCTGTTTTTGAATCTGCAGACCTGGCTCCCAGCTCCTTTCACCAATATTGATGTCCATTGGCCCTCTCCCTTTATTGGTCCCAACCTATTGGTCCTACTAGGGTACAGCTCACCCTCAGGTTGCCAGTGCAGACGGAAGCCCAGTGCTCCGGGTACCCGCTCCCAGCGCAGCCTCAAGGAGTGCTCTCCGCGCTGCACTACTTGAAGGCTCTCCAGAGGTGTTGGCGCCTCAGGCGCTTAAGGAAAAGCACTACAATCAGGGAGGCTTTGCCCCATAGGCTGCACCAATCCCAAGAACAACAACTCCTCCCCCGCCAAGACTTTACCCACACAGGTTCACTATAATCCTTGGTCCCTTCTCCAATCCCCAGCACAAGTCCAGCCCCACAAGTCCCACCCCTCGGACACAAGCCCCAACCCAAAGTTCCAACCCCAAATCCTCCTACGTGTGGTGACGACAATAGAGACTGGTGCACCCTCTCGGTCCCCAACAAGTGCTGTCACTCTCACTGAGTAGCTGACTCCGCCTTCGAGACCCCGGATCTCTGCAGAGTCTTTGTTTCCCGGGAGTATCTGGTGTCGCATAGGGCCACCTGGCCAGGCCAGTGAAGAGCAAGCGTTAGGGGAGCTAACCAGAGAGGGCAGTTGTAGCCAGGAAAAAGAAGGGCAGGGTCATGGAGCCATACCTTCACTCCGTCCCCATGCCAGTCTATAGGCTGTGGCTCCAGGGACTCCCACCCAAGTGACCCGTAGAACATCACTGGAGGCATTGAGGATTTGCAGTTTTGACACACTGCCCACAGGCTCAGGGGCTGGGGACAAAGGCAAGGTAAAGGTCAGGGGCCACTGGCTATCTAGCAGGGGCAGGAATGGCTAGGGAGGCATGGGTAACGGAGGCTAGGTGAGGTTAGTGCAGTTGCTTCCGTGGAGGGAACTCTAAGAGCGAGAAGGTCAGTGTCTCAAAGTGAAAGTGTGGCCTGGCCATGCTGGACACTGAGTAACCATGGGTGGTGCAGCAAGGACAGGCGAGTCACTGAGCAGGAGCGGAACAGGCAGTTAGAGCAGTCAGAAATACGTCGCAGGGTGGGTCAGCCAATGACGTGTGAGAACAGCTGGCCAGGGCCCACTTACCAGTCTTCACAACCACAGAGGCAGGGGCTCCATCCACACCAGCTACGTGGGTTCGCACACGCACTGTATACTCTGTGTCTGGCTCCAGCCCATCAATTTCAGCCACCGTGGCTTCCCCAGAAACCAACTGAGATTTCTCTGGACCTGGGGTCAGAGATAGAGGCAACACTAGGACTTGCCAGACTACCAGTGCTCCACTTGGACTCCAGTAAGAATCTCCATCCTGTCCTATTCAGAACTGCCTCTCATAGCCCTCCTGAAACCCCTGCCTCCTACCATGGCCAGAGTGCCAGGAAACCCTGTATCCTGTGGCTCCAGGAACCCCGGTCCAGGCAATGCTGATAGATGAGCTGCCAGCCTGAGTCAAATGGACTCTCCTCACTGGGCCCAGTGGATCTGGAGAGGAAGACAATGGCAATCTGGTAAAGTAAGCAGGAGGTCTGATGGAAGAAGAGTGGGAGCTATCTGGTAAGGAAAGGCTGTGAGTGTTTAAAGAGGCAGGGATCTCACAAGGAGGAAGCAATGGCAGGCAGCCGCCATCTGAAAGACAAGGTCTGACAGAGAGGAGTCGATGGAAGCATCAGGAGACAGTGAGGACATCAGGCAAAGAACAAAGTAAAAGTCTAAGAGGAGAGTTGGGTCTAACAAAGGAGAACAAAGAGGAAGAGGAGGAGGAAGAGGAGGAGGAAGAGGAGGGAGAGGAGGAGGGAGAGAGGAGGAAGAAATGGGCTCTGAGGGATGAATAGTAGGAATAAGAACAAAGACAGTGGGAGCTGTGGGGTGAGATACAGTTGGACATGAAGGGAAGGCTCCAGAGTAGGAATGGGGACAGGATGGCACTCTTCGGGGGGGGGGAGTGTGGGAATATAAGTGATAAAGAGGGCTATAGAAGTCTGAAGGGGCTCTAGAGGCAAAGAACCAATGGACTGGCTCAGGCTCTGACCAGTTCGAGCCACGATGACCACAGGGGGACCTTCCTCTCTCCCTCGAAGTGCTGACACAGCCACATGATAAGAGGTTCCAGGCTGCAGCCCCAGGATGTCTGTGGCAGTAGAGTCTGGGGGCAGTGTCTGGCTGGACTCTGGACCTAAGATCAGAGAGAAATGATGACCCGGTTCTGGCTGTCGTCTTAGTCCTCCACACTCTGATCACTCCCCTCAGCCATCCACACACTCCACACTGACCACTGCCTGTCCTCCAGCTAATCCGGAATCCACTGGCTCCAGGTACAGGTCCCCAGGTCACCCTAATTCTTGTTGAATCTGATGCCACAACCCGCAGTCCTGGAACAGTAAGTTGGGTTTCTGGATCTGGGGATTAAAAACAGGGGTCAAGGGTCAAGATGGGGACAGGAGCAAGTCAGTCACCATCCCCTATAAGTCTCCAAAAGTGCTCACCTCTGCGGATGGTTAGGACGCTGGCACCACCCTCACGAGAGCCCACTCGAGCAGACACCCGCACTGTGTAGCTAATCCCAGCTTGAACGTCATCTAAGTTAAAGGATGTCTGACTCCCAGGAAGCAACAGGGTCCGCTCAACCCCTGAGAGAAGGCAAGTGAGCAGACAGGAGTCAGTACCACACAGGGATATAGAATAGCAGTCAGTGACGGGTAAGGATGCAAGACAAGGAGTCTTAAGGGAGAAGGAAAATTGGATGGTGAGGGGAAGCGAGAGGATGTGGGTTACAGGGACCAGCCACGGCAGCAGCATCGGATAACTGGAGTCGCCAGCGAATGGGGACACTGGATGATAGGGGTTAGGTGACAGAAACATGGGATGTAGTCTGATGAGAGTCGGTGACAAGAGGCAAGCTGACAGGCCACTGATAGGCGTTGGCCCTGGATGACAGGGGTGAGTGTTGGATGAGGTCACCACACGAGGACTCTTAGTGGGGAGGCAGAGGGAATGTGAGGGATTTGGGGGGCAAGCACATCTGAAGAGGCCCTCTAGGCAAAGAATTAAGAGACTGAGGCAGACTCTGTGTAGTTTGAGCCATAATGACCACAGGAGGGCCCTCTTCTCCGCCTTGAGAAGGACAGAAGGGAGGGGTCATAGAGCTTGTGGTAGGGAAGGGTGAGCCATGGCGGGGCGTGGGTGGACGAGACAGGCTGGGGTAGAGGAGAGGAAAGTCAGACCCTGGGGCAGTTCTGGGTTGACAACTCTCAGGAGGTGCAAAGAGATGGAGGAGGCTGTAGGAGCCCAGCGCCAGGAGTGTGAGGGTGCTGCAGGCTGGGACTGTGGTATGAGGGGACTTTTCTGGCTGCTTCTGCCTTACCCTGGGTGCTGCGCACAGTGACACGGTACTCAGTGGCACTGGGGACTGGGTTCCAAGACACTCGCACCCGCTGCCCAGACAGTTCTATGGCTTGTAAATTCATCACCTCACTCACTGGCTGCTCTGGCCCTGTGAGAGAGAAGAATGTAAGGCTGTCTGGAGTCGCCAGACTTCCCCAGTCATGTCTACCTACAGGGAGGGCCCTTACCAGTAGGAACTATGGTTGCAGGAGTGGCCACCTCCCGGCCCTCCAACAGAGTATAGAGTGTGAGACGATACTCAGTGCCAGGCTGCAACCCATCCAACTGGTGGCGGGTCACATCAGAGGGCAGTACCACTTTCTGTGGTGGTTCCAAGCCTGCAAGATGGCAGGGTCAGGTTAGCTGAAGCCAAGCTCCAATCCCTGCATGCCCACTTCTCTCAGTTGCACTGACCACTCTCACGACGCCACTCTAGCCGGTAGCCACGGGCCTCAGGCACCAAGTTCCAGGAAAGGAGGATGGATGTGGGGCTCAAGATGACAGGGTGCAGGGTCTGCTCCACCGAGGAGTCTGCCCAGGGCACATGGATATCAATGGCTTCTGTACCCTCCCCTCCCTGCCCGTCCCAGTCTGAGGGAAGGAACCAGACGTCTCACCAGTGCGGGCAGTCAGAGAAGTGGCAGGCCCCACACTGTGGCCATAGAGGGCGCTCACAGTCACCTCATAGTCCGTGCCCGGCTCCAAGTGATATAAAAATACTGACCCCTGTCCAGGACTCAGGTCCTGCTGCTGTGTTGTCCCACCTGTATTGGGGCAACAGAGGGTTCAGTGGGCCTTACAGATGCAGGACTGTATAATTCTGTCAGTCCACACCTCTCACTTACCACTGAGGTCCCGCCATGCTACACGGTAGCCAGTGACACCTGGGACTCTCCTCCAGGCCACCAGAAGGCTGTGGGATGTGATGTTCTGGACACTCAGCTCCAGCCCTTCCTCGGCAGCTGAGGGGAACCCCCCAGGGATTAGTAAAGCCAAAAGTAGGAAGGGGTTTGGGGACCTGGGTATTAGGAGAATGGGGCCAGAGGTTGACAAAATTGCTCACTGGTCCGAGCTGTGCCACTCACGGCCTCCCCGATGCTGTTGGCGTAGAGGGCAACCACAGTCACTTGGTATTCAGTAAGTGGCCGGAGACCCTGTAGTCTCGTGCTGGTCTCACCAGCTGGGACGTTCACCTGCCCAGGGCCAGAGGTCATCTCATATTGTCTGGCCAAGTACCTAACAGCCACCAATCACTGATGAATAAACCTTACCTCCTGTCGCTCGCTTGGCAGCGGCTGTCCCAGCCCTGTCAGAGGGGTGTACTGAATCTTGTAGCCAGTCACTGGGCCACTAGCTGCTGTCCACTTTACTTGCAAGGACTGACTACTTGGCTCAGACAGCACAAGGTCCCGGGGCCCAGATGGAGTGTCATCAACTGTGAATGGGGTTGGGGCAGCATCAGGTCATCAGGAAAAAGGGTCAGGGGTGAGGAGTCCATACATCAGCACTCTAGGCTAGGCTAGGAGCCCGGGGTCAGGGTCCCCAGAATGGGCAGAAACTTACAAGGCAGGGTCACAGGCACACCACCAGCAGTTGTGCACACCCTCCGGGAAATGAGAGGCAACAGTGTCCTCAAGATGCTGAAGTCATTGACAAAGAAGAAGAAGTCACTGGTTGGCTGTGAAGCAACCCGCTTCAGCTCCTCGGGGTCAGCATTCTTGATTCCTGAAGAGATGCCCAAGCAGGGCTCAGTTACTTAGACAAAATCTGAGTGGTCCCCACTCCAACCGACCTCTCGCTCGCCTCAGCTTGGTTCTCACCCACAGCAAACAGCTTGACTCCCTGTCCCTTCAGTTTCTGGGCTGCTGTGTCCACTAAGTCTTGGGACTTCCCATCTGTGATCAGGATGCAGACCTAGATGGATGCCAAGACCAGTCAGGGATGCTTTGGACATTTATCTTGGGGTCATATTTGGAGGCATAGTAAGTTTAGGGAACACCTTGGGGATGTTAGGTCGTGTTAGGTGGGGCAAGAAGACACGGTCAGAAACATGGTGAAGAGCGGCCCCCGTGCGCGTGTTGCCACCCTTATAGTTGAGTTCACGAATGGCACGGATGGTGTCACCTCCAGAGCCGAGTGCATCCAGACCAAATTCTGTCCTGAGGGGAAGAAACAGGGTAGCAAAAGGGAAGGGTCATGATCTCTTCCAGCCCTGACCTCTGGGATGAGTCCTCTTGAGAGTGCCCTTGGTTCTACCATGGAAGCTTTCATATTAACAGACTCCTTGGGTGTCTTTCAATATAGCAGTACTGCTGAACCTCAACAGACCTTGAACCCTTGAGGTTCCCTGCCTAGAGAGCATAGAGTATCTGGTTAGACAAAAAGTGTTTCTGGTGAGCAAAGAGATGAAGGAGTCAGAGAGCCGGAACAAGGAGACTCTACCTTGGATTCCCCATCTCTATGCAGAGAAAACGGAGTCATCCTGTCTGTCCCTCACTGGCTTAGAGGTGTTTTAGGACAGGAACACACTTTCAAAGTATCCCTACCTCTCTCCAGAGGAGATCTTGGCTAGGGCATCTCTGGGCTCCTCAGAGCCTGTTTCTAATCTCTCCTCTCTGAGGAAGGGGTCTTGGGACCTACGGCCCTGGCCCCAAGCCGGCTGGCTACTCACTGTGGGTCATCACTGTACTGCACTGTAGCAAATCGTACGCCCTGCGCACTGGCCGCCCCTGAGAAAGGCAGCACCAGCCCCTCCAGGAATCCTCGCACTTCGCGGAAGTTGCTGCGGCCAATGGATGACGAGCCATCGAGTAAGAACACAATGTCAGCGGCGTAAAGGCGTGTGCAGGTCACTGAAGCAGGGAGGAGAGATCATGACCTTTCCTGGAAATCCAGGCACCCTCCTCTAGGCACTGAGGTCCCCCGGGACTCGGGACTGGGAGGACAACAGGCTTCGTTTGTGTATGCAAATGAGGCCAGGTAGGCGTGTGCCTGCCAGCCTGGAGGAAGCCCCAGTGGGGCTCAGAGTAGAGCTTCTCAGGAGGGCTGAAGCACAGTGAAGTCTAAGTTGCAAGCAAGGATGTAACCCCGGGGCTGAAGTCAGTTTCGGGGGGACTGTTGCCGAGTGGCAAAGGGCAGGGGATTCAGCATGCATCTAGGAAGCTAGAATTTGGGTGCCAACGGGATAGGAGGCAATCTGGGGGAGCCCAGAGTGGAATTCGGGGAGTCTGGGAAGAGTTAGAGGCATCCATAAGAGTTTGGAGGAATCCTCGCGGGAAGGTATCAGGGATAAAGTTTGAGTGGATGCATGGGTGACGGGGTGCAGAGCCCCGGAAGGTGCCCACCTCTATCTCTGGACTGGGCCCACACTCCAGGCGCCCCCACCAGGACCTCGGCAGTGCAGAGCGCAGCGACTAGGAGCCGCAGCCTCATCCTGGGTGATAGAAACGGTCAGGTAGGAACCCCACCTCTGTCCCTTGTCTCCCGAGCCTTTGGCTGGTGGAAACCCAGCGCCCCCCACCCCAAGTCCTAATCTTGCCTGCCCGTCAGCCTGCTCCCGCCGCAGCCGCAGCCAGTTCCAGTCCCGTCGGCCCAGAGGAGAAAAGTCCCGATCCCAGGAGGCGGAGCAGCAGGCGGGGACCAGGCGGCCCGCCCTCACTCCCCTCCCCAGAGGTCGCTTCCCCCACCCCACTTCTCCAGGACTTAAGATATGATGACGCACTCAACTGCAAGGCCCTCTCCCATGGCTTCTGGGAATCATCCGGGTTTTTTGACAGAGGCTATGAGAGCACCACAACCTCACTTAGGGTTATAGGTCTTGATTGCTTTTTAGCCAGTGATTAATGAAGTCATTGCTGCCCTCTGAAATGCAGTCAGGTTCCTGAACACCATAGGGGTAGCAGCCTGATGTTTGGGCATATTGCAGCTGGAGCTGACTCACCCCCAACCCGTGGGGGGTGCCCAGACAAAGCCTCAGGACATAGGTCCTGACAAACGCACATCTTGTGAATCAGCCTGCTTCTGTCTGGTGGACCTCCTGTGCCCCACCCTAACCTCTAGACAGGCCGAGCAGCCCCCAGCAAATGAGAGGCTCTGGGACTATCCTAGGGACCCCAAACCACACTGGGCTGGATCTAAGCAAGACATGCCTGCTTTCGAAGAGAGAACCTGTGCCATGCTTGTTCACATATGTGCATCCCAATGCCCTTCACTCCCTACTATGTCTTGAAGCAGTCCTAGACAGATGCCATCCAGCTGTGTTTGCGGAGAGGGAGGGCTGTCCATATGTGGTGGGTGGACCACCCATGCTTACAGCTCAGCTCTCAGGAATCCACCTAATGCCCATGTTCCCACTGGCAAGGCCCGCCCATGATTCAGGACAGGTTCCCCCATCTGCTTTCCTGGCTCTGAGGAATCCCCTCCTTCAACCTACTCCTGTAGACTTCTATTTAACGCCCTGACTAGGCCTAGGGCCATCCTATGACCGTGTCCTTTCCTCATTGCCTCTAGGTATCTAACTTTCCCCTTCCTAATTGGCCGCCTCTCAGTCCTTCCCTGTGGACAGTCAAGCCCACTTTCCTAGTGAGGTCTTCGGTTATACAAATATGTTTACTAGGTGGGTGACATCGAGAAGACAGAGACATGCCTAAGAAAGCTAGCCCCCATCTGGGCCCTGTTTCTTTATTTATTCAGTCTTCTGTAGTTCAGTAAGTACATCTTCATTCACCATTGCTGCTGGGTGGCTTCCAATATGCCTGGTCCTGAAACCTTGGTCCCTTCAGATCCTCAGGCTAAATGGGGAGACAGGGCTGGATGGAAGTTCTCTTCTGTTTCCTCTGGGCCTGGCCAGGCCTGAGAGTTTTCTAGCATGGACAAACCTCGAGGTACAGAGGACCATCCGCTCCTGTTTCCCTGTTGTCAGGAAAGCTGGCTCTCCCGCTATCAGTGAAGACTCACACTCCCAGAACTATTCAGGCCCCAGAAACTTTTTCCAACATCAGGGTCTGTCTCCCAGGGCCTCCCAGCCCTAAAAGGAATGTTCCAGATGAGGGTAGTAGACAACCAGGCATGTTCTCAGAGGCAAGCCCCTGCCCTAAGACCATTGCCCACTCTGGCACAGCCAAGGGTGAGTGACAGACAACAGGATAAAGAGGGCATGTACAATATGGACATAAATGTGTGTGTGGGCCTGACCTTCAGGAAAGTAGCAGGTCCAACTTAGCCTCAAGGCAAACCTCACTAGAACTGAAGTACCCCTCAACTACAGGCTCAGTGTGGGGTCAAAGGAGGCTGCTGAAAAGATAGAAGGCTAGGGGATGACTAGCAAGAACGGGGCTGCAGCACCCTGGCAGGCTTGCAGCTTTAGGTACAGTACTGGAGACCTGTACATACCTGCAGCTCTCCCATCAGGGCGGTGGAACCCCAGAGTGTAATGTTTCCCTCCCATGCTTCCCTGGGCATTTTCTTCCTTGGCTTGTCCTATTTAACCAGATGGCACCATGTCTGCCATCAGGGCCCACATCCCACTGTATCCTAATACCTCAACACTCCTCACCAGAACTGGGCAGGGTATCCTCTGACCCACTCTTGCTTCTCATCTCCCAGTACTACTGGGAGTGTTGTCCTGTTCCTGCTTCCAGTTCATTCTACTTCTCCCTATAGCCCTGACAATAACCAGGCTCACCTGGATTGTCACAAAAAGGTAGCCCAAATCCCCATGCTACTTCACAGCTCTTACCAAGTTACTTTTCTTTACGATCACCTGTAGGGCACCTGCCTGACATGTTTCTAGAGGAATGATGAAATAAATGCCCTGGGCTCAGAATGCAAGGAGTCCAGAAATCCCCAGCAGCTCCAGCTCTCATGTCCAGCAGCACATCTGTATGTAGCCTTTGGGGTCATCAAATCTCATTCCTTGAGCACAATAGTGATGGCAATTGTTCCGGAGTTGGTTGTTATACCTCCACCCAAAGCCAGGGGTGGGCCCATCTAAGTTGCGTGCTACCCAGCTTCCTTACAGATGGTCACACCTGCCCCTAACTGACATCTGAGGGAAAGGCACTGGACAGCCTAAGAGTCAAGGCTTGTTTGGCTACATTCAGAAGGTGTTGGGGAAGACTTTGGAATAGCCCCTCAACAAACTGCCCCAGAACCCTGCTCACATTCACAGCCAGCCGACTTCAGAGGCTCAGGCCATTTGCTCTCCACTTTCCCTACAGGGGAATGCAGGAATAGAGGCCTACTAGCCCAAATTTCTCCCAGATCAGAGCTCAAAGGGGTAGCAGAGGGATAAAGCAGCTAAGAGCTTTATTAGGTGAGGGTTAGGTCCTGGCTGCCTCTAGAAAATGGGGAGGGGACCTCTAGGCAACAGCTCAGGACTTGCCTAGGACAAACCTAGAGGAGGGAGGGGGCTTGGGCTCCACTGAGCTCAAGGCTATTCTTGGAGCCTGAGTCAGCGGCAAATAAAGGCAAAGGATTCCTGTCTTGCCTGTCCAGACAGCAGTTACAAACCAAATCAGAACACTATGCCCCAGGCTATCCTCTCTATAACTGTACACACTCAGAAGCAGCTTCCTCTGGGACACTAGTGGCCCCTCCTAGTCCATCCCAGCAGAGAATAGAGGCCACCAAAGGGTGGCTGTGTACAGTGTTTTCAGTGAAGGTTTTCCCACATAAGCTCCCAGTTTCCACTCTGGGACATCAACAGGGTACAGACAGGGCCTGAGTTTTCCATAACTCCCACATCCCACTCCTGGGACAAGCTGGCTAAGGAATGTCCCCCATGTAGCTGAGTGGAAACATCTGGGAGAACTCCCTGCAAGCATCAAAGGCTTCCGGCCTCCACACTTGCCCCTGGCTGAGGACACATCAGAGGGCAGGATTCAGAGGATGTAGAACGTGAGGAAGTCTTTGCTCCCCAGTGGATTCCATGCCAATACTAAAGAAAGGACAACACAGTTCTCAATAGGACTTTATTAGTGGTAATTGGCTGCATACGTCTGAGCAGCAGGAGTGGTATGTTTGTGGCAGAGGACCCAGGGTCCCTGGCCCCACCCTCTTGCCTGCCAGCACAGACTTCCTGCCTAGAAGCGCAGCCAGAACATGCCGCTACGGATCCGGTTGTAGTCTGGGAGCTGCTCAATGGGGCCTGTGGGGATAGGGTGGGGAGTCAGGGTGGAGTGCCTGGCCTGCACAGGGACACCTGGCCCTGTGCCACACCCAGCTCAGACTGGCTGCCCAGAGCAGCACAAGACAGGCTTTGAGCGAAAGACAGAAGAGCACATTCCCCAGGGTGCAGAGCCTGTCCTTTCACGCTCTGGCCCCGGGAGCCCCACCCCACATGCAGGGTACCTGTTACCTCGTGGGCTGGGGGGGTGGGTGGGGTATTAATGGAAGTAGCTTGGCAAGGAGTTGGGGAACTGTTGGGACAAGTTTTCTGAAAAGAACTCCCTGGCAGCCAGGTTACTGCAGAGAACCTCAGCTTCCTTCTCAAAGTATAAGCTGGGAATGGGGGAAACAGAGGCAGGAAGGGAGGACAAGATAATAGCCCAAGGAAAATAACAAAAGAGCAGACCTTCTAGACTACTCACCATATCCAGCCACTGCTGGACACTGGTCATAGAAGTACTTGGAGCAAACCTCACGCAGCATTTGGGCATCCACCTTCTGTAGGCAGAAACAGAGAGAACACTGAGTGACAGGTACCAGGCACTCCCCTTAGCCAGTATTTTCTTGAGTCAATCCACACTTACTACTGGACCTTTGGAGCTGTTCCTCTATTCAAAGGGTGAATGTGCAGGGTTCTCCCTACCTAGTCCACAGGCACAGCCATCAGTACCCCTCTGGTTACCCCACCCGTACAAGGGGCAGCTGCCTTGGATATCCGAGATGCTTATGGGAACAATTTTTGTTGTATCAGATCCCAACTCTGCAGAGGCCCATCAGGCTAAGGCTCCAGACCCTCTTCCAGAGGTCTAATTACCGCAATCCGAGTCTCCCACTCAGCCAGAGGGATGCGGCGGCCGTAAGTCAGGAGGCTGCGACCAATGTCTTCACACACAGGGGTGGTGCCTTGAAGGGAAGGAGAAAAGCTTAGAGGTCTGCCCTGTCCCATCCTGGACCCACAGAGGCCTCTAGGACTGTGCTCTGACCCCATTTCCATACCAACCTGCCACAACAGTGGTGGGCTACTGACCACTCGCACCTGGCATGGCAGGGGAGGGGTGGCCTTCAGTCTTCTTTCCTCCCTCTCTCCTTTTGTTCTGAGACAAGGTCTTGATATGTACCTTAGCTGGCAGGCCAGGCTGGCCCTGAACTCACTGTGTAGTTAAGGTAACCATGGACACCTGCCCTTCCTGGCTTATTTCCCAAAAGCTGGGATTACAAGTGTGAAACACCACATACAGCCAAGGTTTTCCTTTCTAACTCTGGCCACACTACAGCCTGAGTCACTGTGATCACTACTGGGACATATTGTAACCCTCACTACAGGGAGGGGGACTCACCATCCAGATGAGACACCAAGGCATTTCTGAGGATGTTTTTGCCCCGGGTCACTTCACTCTCTGTGGCACTGGTGCACAGGCGCATCCTAAAGGGGTGGGGGGTGGGGGTAGGAGTGGGTTTGAAGTGATACTCATTCTGGGAGACTATGTGTT